AAACCCACATCCAGACCAATTAGATGACAATGGATATATTTCTAGAGCAATGAACACAGCTCTGCTGATAGTCTCGATATGTTGTAGTTGCTACGGACTCCCTTCAATCAACAAAACAGGGATCCGATAAAGAAGAGTGAGTTTATCCCCCCTAGTTGCATCTAGACAAAGTGTGACATATATGATGTAAAAGCTTGAGAGTACAAGGAGCTCATGAAGTTTGTTTCCAGGGGTCTGCTATGGTTCCCCTCTTCTAAGCCAACACTATCTTCGACAATATTCAGATAATGGTGGGTATAAGCAGGTAGTATTACCAAGAACAGAGCACTAAATGAAAAAGATGAGGAAGGGATGGCAATATTATCAACAGAGGAAACCATCACCCCTCATGCCTACTCCCATACACTCCCAAGTTCTAGATCACACTCGTTTTTTTGTAGTGCAATTAGAGACCCACTTCAGTTGACACCCGGATTCCTTTACCCTAATCATGTGACTACGAAATAGCTCTGTGGGATGGGAAAGAAAGACCATGCATATGTCACAGAGCAATATACTACATAAGAATGCTCATGCATGCTGATATGAGAGAATGCCAAATATACATGATGATTATTCAAAGATATGAGGAAAATGAGGAAATATATCATCGAAATGAAATTACAACCTGTGAGAGTTGCGAGGCTGTTCTCTCTCCTTCAAACTCTTCCTTAGCAATAAGGGCCCAGCTGCCTTCACCATGTCGCTTCACAGCAGCGTTCAGCTCCTCATCCTCCTCAGCTGACCATTTTTTTCTTCTCTTCCGAGGAGCGATGCTACTAGCTAACCCATTTCCATTAAGTCCGTCAGCTGCTTTCTGAAGAGAAACAGGAAAGGTGATATTCATCCCTCTTGAAGACCAATACGAGTCTGATGGTTCCTGAGGCCCCCTATGCAGGCCATAAGGTATGTTAATGGTCAAGGGAGCCTCAACCGTTGAGTCTTCGGGAATATCAGACTCACTTGGTACATAGGAAGCAGCCATCACCTAAGAAAAGAGAAAAACAGGAAACTTAGCATTTGGCTTATTAGTAGCTCAGAATAAGCAGACATCAATACCCAAGAATAGTAGCCACCACTTAATTATTAGGAAGACAGCATGGTGGTATGCAAACCACTGAGATTCTGATTATAAATTGTCCACCAAATTTTTTGTATTTGACATAATAGGGAGATCAAGATCAATACTGATAAAAGTAAAGAGCCAAAGGGACAATCCAAAAATATGTTGATAGAAAACTTGCAAAAATATTAAAAAAGTAAGCTTCTTGCCATCGGAAGAATCAATTTATTAGTAAAGATAACACGAAACTTTTCTACTACGCTTCATGAGCCTATCAAATAAGAAAACACAAAGATCAGACAAAAGGAAACTGCAATCATTATCTGCTAGTTCTATCATAAATAGAGATATTAAGTAAAAAAAATTCCACCAAACCATTGCTTGATATCTAGAAAACTATCTATGGAATAACCTGCATGAATCTAGAAAATAATGTCTTAGACATAAATGAATGGCAAATAGATAGACAGCATGAAATTAACTATCTCTTGGGAGAAAATGTCACAGAGAAACAGCACTTATGAAGCAATAGTATAGAGAACCAGCTCTTCTCTGGAAACTGAACAAGGACTTTGAGAGGAAATACAAGAATCTCAGGAAAATTTGACTTCTATTTCCTTCTTACCTTCACATGCGCAACAGCTTCCGCTACTGCATCAACGCCAACGGCAGGGGAAACTTCCAATTCACACTCCATGTCACTCTCATCATCCTGCACAAGCAAGAGTTCGTGAAAATTTGCAACAACGTCTTGTAATGCATAGCTATCACATGATACATAAATTCATTCGACCTTAGACCAAAATGCTTTTAACCAAGAATATCAATATCCACCGACAAATTAAATCGAAAAAAGTACAACGTTCACTCTTAGACTGTCAAGAAAAGGTACATAACAATACTGAGACTCGTCAGATACTATCCCTTAAGGTAACAAGTTAGTATCTAAGAACAAAAGTTTTAAGATTCTGAACAAACATTAACAATGCAACATAAGTTTTGAGTACTTTGTGAATAACAAGAAACATAATCAACAACCAGACAGAACCAACATCCCAAAAAACCATAACAATACCCAAAGAGAAAGAGCAGATAAAAGCAGAAAATCCCTAATCTGATGCCAAATGGACTTTCTAACATGATCAATATAACATATATCATCAGAATAGTCGATAGACTATACAATAACTGAAACTAATGCGAATGAAAAGAGATGAGACAGACCAGAAGTTGAGCATTATCTTCCACAGGGAGGAGAGAATCTCGATAAGCAAGATGCCGCCACAGCAATTGGTATTCTCTAGCACTGGTAATTCCAGTAGTGGTCTTCTTCACTAACTCGTTCCAATCCATCTTGGATTCAGCATAATATGCCATTTCCTGTAGCAACTTCAGTATCGTTATGGTATCATATCTGCAAAACAAATGCCAAAAATCCAAAGAAGAATAAGTTTCAATCCCAGTAACCAAATTGATGGCGGAAAGTTTAGAAAAAGAGACCTCTGCAAAAGAGTGGCGATGTCTCCTTCACTGATGAACTCTTTCCTCTTCTTATTATTACTCTTATCAACCATTGTCGTGATTGTAAACAGCAATCACATGTTACGATGAGTCAATCAAATCTGCAGCGAGATCACTCACTACTCGAACGTAATCAATTTTGAGCGACAAACCCTAATTAGGATTTGAGATTCAGAGACACTGGAATCTCCTACGGCTCGGAGTTGGTTAAACGAAACGGCGCAGATAACGGACAAATTATTGCCGGCGACAGAGAAGGAAACTGATGCGGCGATCGGAGAGAGGGAGATAGTGGAAGCGCGTGGAGCGCACGCGTACGAGTTGGGGTTTTGTGAATGATATATGAGAGTAAAGAACGGTTGCACTCAGGATCGGCAGTAGATATCAAAAATCTTACGATGTTTCCAATGACCGATTTGCCCACCTAAAGAAGTTTTAACATTTTTTTTTTTTCAATATAAAACATGTTTTATCATCGACTCCAAAACAATTCAACCAATAAAAAAACAATATGCAGAATTCAAACAGTCAAAAACTACAAAAACACAATTAATTTTATATTGAAAATTGAAAACATCATCTAATTTAAAACAAAAAAAATCCACAAAACATCATCTACTATGATACGGAAGGAATATATTATTCGAGAGGTGATTATGGCTCATAATGAGAGTTGAGATATTAAATGTCCGTGTTACCCTTAATGAAAAAGCCGAATTTTAAATTCTGAATTTTATAATTATTTGCTACAAAACAAACAAAATTAATAGAGATTTTGATTTCTTATCCCTTGCTTATAGGGATATATTCGATTGTTATATATTTTTGAAAATTTTTAAGAAATGTCATATGTTCTATGCCACT